GAATTATATTCTCATCACCGTCTACCATGATTTCATGATAAAGTACGACGTGATGGGGGATTCCTCGGTGGTCATTGAATATATCGAAGGACTAAACAACGTTTCGCTTTGGACGGCATCAGTATTGCTCTGCATCTGGTCACTTTGCCCTGCGTCCGCCGCCGAAAAGCATCAATTTGGTATCCGTATCATGAAGATATATTTCTTTGTTTGTTCGAAGTCCGGTAGTGATGAGGATCAAGTTTGAATGTTTACTAGCCTCTACCTAGGTAAGGGATGAGGAAGAGAAGGAACGCAGACTGATGGACTGGGAAAGAAGGCATGAGCTCATGCGTCTCCCTGAGGTAGCTTGCACGCCCCCGTCCCTTTGCCATGGTTTCAAAATGGATTCTTCCTTTGACGGTATCACATATCGGAGACAAGGAGGAAAAGATGAGCTTGGATGATTGTAGCCATGTTTCGCAGGTGGTCTAGATTCGAGATCAACACATTCCCTCCCTTATGGATATCGTCTGCAAAGCGGTCTTTTGGTCATGGTATCGACTTTGGGGTTAAATGCCTGATTGCGGTTCAGAGGTAAAATCACCTAAAACCGCGATATTGACCGTCATTCATGACGTGGAAGATTCTACATTGCACATCAAGCTAATGTGTTTAATGCTAGGATGTCTCCACGACGTGATGCTGTATTGCGCGGTAGAGGGTGGGATAGGCAGCGTCAGGATGTAAGAGCATAGTCCTTACTCTACGTTTTGAACTCGACTTTTTGTGTGAGCATTTAATTGCGAGGTTCTTGGGGTGGGGGCAGATCCATTGCAAGACGATCGAATGCGTGCCAAATTGTCGCAAAAGATCTGGCTTATGAGATGGTAGTATCCAGGAATGGATTGGCTACTAGAACTCGCAAAGTTTGTTTGATGTCAAGGGCGTTCTATGCTCGAGCTTGAGGCTCTATCCCAAACCAGAGAGTAATATTCACCTTTGAATTCACATCAAAGATTACGTGATTGATATCACAAGGGATAGATTGTACCTAGTCAAGCACCGGCACAAGTGACGATTCCCAATGAACGGGAGAGAAAGGAACGGCAGACGTATTGGTCCTTGAAATATCCTCCATCAGCTACTTCTGTCGAGGGAGAAGAATAGCATCCCTTCCGCCAGGAGAGCACATTCCGTTCCCATGTTCAACCGATTGTCTTCTTACAGATCGCTGTTGCGTTGCGACGTTGGCAACTGAAGAAGAGCCGGAGGATCATATCACCGTGGACGGGCTAGATAACTTCGTCGCAGATATAATGACCAGTCAATGTTGTTGGCTGGAGCTGAGCGGCGACAGCATGGTCTCGCCACCAACCCTCTCCGAGGCTCCGGCGCCGCGTAGTGCCTTGATCACAACACTCGTCGAACTTTCTCAAATACAGGAACAGGAGGAGGTTGGGAGAAATCCGTTTATGTATACAAACACATCCGTGCCCATCCACGTGCGGTCATGTCAGCACGTCCTAGAAGGTTTCATGGAAGTTCTCTGCCTGGCCCGGCGGCAGTCAAAGAGTCCTCTTGGGGTTATTTGACCTGGGAGAAAAAGCTGGGGAAGTCCAGAGCCCCGATTCGGCTGCAGGCGCTTGGGTCGCGGGGGAGTGTTGACAATGTCATTGTGGTTGTGGCCACGCGGAGGCTCTCGCGGCAATGTCACTTGTTCGGTGGGATGAGGTTGAACCGACGATGCTGCAGGAAACGGATGCCGCAGACGACGAACTGAAGCATTTAGCGCCAGGCCATGCGTGAGGATTACTTCATAGGCAGTCGAGGTCCGTCCAAAGCACTTCGTGGCCAAAGGCCCATTCAAGGGACTAAAAGAGTCCGTCATCTTTACCGAGCGGCTCCAGAAGGATACACATCCTCATGGAGCCTTATGGACGGCGCGAAACGGAGTGACCGTATGGGCGAAACGAGGGTTGCTTACACGATGCTCCTCCTCAGTAAGTTGAAGCCGTTGCCCAGGCTAAGACTCGACACAGCACGCCAATCGGCTTTTGTTGGTAGAACACGGATACTGTTGGTTGAGTCCTTGCCAGTGCCCGGCTTTGGAAAGGGATAGAGTCTTGAAGCAGGGGAGCCCTGTTCCCGGGTCACGGCATGATTTTGCCCCTCCCCACAACGTCGGACGAACCGCTCAGGGGAACCAGTTCAACCGGCCGGGCCATTCCTCATGCCGCCACGGGTACGAAATCGTTATTCGACGAAACTGTCCCACGATGGCCGATAATTTGCCATGCCAAGGGACGAAGAAGAGCTGGGCGGTCAGTGGTTCGCGGGAGTCCGCAGACACGGCGTCCGAATATGGGACGAATATGCCAATGATTGGTGTCGAACAGCAGCGGGAAGGCGTAAGGGTCTGGAGTTGGCAGCATGCCATTGTGGCGTCGAGATTGAGGTGTTGCTTTTCTAGAGTTACAATAGAAGCTACCGACTTGGGTGTTCAGCTCAATATCCGGAAAGGTACGCGAAGTATCGAGATGAAAAACAAAATAATTAAGAAAGCAAACTCAGGATCGCCAGTATGGGGGAGGCTCATGCAGTGAGGCTTTGCTCGTATCAAAGCGAGCAGGGATGCGAGGGCCCCTTTATGCGATGAGGCGCAGAGCGTGGGGCAACTTGTAAGTGCTGTGGTATACCATCAGCAGTCGGGCAGTCAAACAAGGGCATTCGACAACGACTGCCCCAAAATTTGAGGAGAACAACGCTTCGTAAGCTTCCGCTGTTGCGTGACCTGTGCTGTCATTAAGCACACGGCAAGAGTCGACGCTAAAAGAGATTTCTTCTCCCTTGGCTTGCTCGATCGGGCAAAGGAATGTGTGGACCCTTCAATTTCACAGGTGGCTGGCCGAGAGCGCGACTAAATGAATAGCGGCGCCGGCAGCGCGGTTTCGACCCAGATCAGCCATTGGATAGTGTCGTGGATGGACGTGCTTTGCTTCCATCGAGACATCCAGACCGTGATGAGAAAGAAAATAGAAACCTGGTTTGTTGCCATTCAAAATAGTTGCAAAGCCATTGTTTCCAGACGCAAGCCTCGAAACAATGCCGAATCCGTGAAGTCAGTAGCAGGCGTCAGCCGATGAGATGAAAACAGAACGGCCTACGTCAGAAAGTTTGTGACCGTGGGCATGACCATGGCCATTTCGATGCGCTTGCCACCTGTTCCTTGTTTACCAGAGTCAGAATCAGACACCTGAGTCAAATTGTCTTTTTTACCAGACGCAGGAGCCATCTGTCAAGCCGTCATTGTCCATCAGGCCGTCTCGTAACGATGGATCTACATGCCCCAAATCGAGACCCAATGCCGTGGAGAGTATCACTGGGCTGTCCATGTGAGGGGTCGAAAGTTTCGTCCAAAGCTTAAGTGGATTCTGGGTGGACTCGTTGGTCGGCAAAAGAGTTCAATATGTATGTGCGGCGTCCGGTGTGGTTGAAGGGAGAGCTGAGCAAGTGTTCCGGCATCATTGGTGGTCCCCGCGCTTGTGCGTTGTGTTGGCCGCGTACTGTATTGGTAGGATACACTAGGACTCGTCGAGGATGGGCACGCAAACACAGAACTATTGTATGCAGGCCTAGACGACGTGCTCGCGATCCGATCGCGCCGGGTTGTCATGGTTCGCGTTGGAAGTCGATGAGCACGCCTCTCGTAATCTCGATCAGCTGGAGAAAGGCAGAAAAGATCTGACAGGAAAATCAGCTGGAGGACGATCAATGGAGACAGAATACCGGGGCCAAATGTCATGTCTATTGCCGGAAAAGCGCGTCTTCGGAAGTTATCGACGCATAGCCTGGTATCGCAAGCATGGGTCTTCCGTGGCCTAGTCGTTCGTGCCAGTCTAGCAAGATGCTAGGAGGAGTCGAGGTGGGGGATTGTGGTTCGATGATATCAAGGATGAGCGACGTTGTGTTTGCTGGTGAAGTAAGATGAAGGCTCCCTTTCATTGCTTGGAGAGTTAGGGAACTTGCAAGATTCAGAGTCAATTCCACGTTCAAAATCATAGTACGTAGTGACGTCTCTAACGTACGATATTTCTGAAATGGAAGGCAAGTGTTCGTCCACATCGTTTTTCTCTCTTGTCTTTCTAGATGCTCGTCTTCCAGGTTGCTGCCTCCCTTGAATACACCGTTAAGCTAAGGCAGGAACCGACCTAAGACGGGATGGGCTAGTGGATCTGGAGAAGGCTTAGCGTAGGTGGCACCTGCTTTCTCGGCCCTGGTCATCAAAAAGCGCCGGCTGAGTACCTACCGTGCTACCGTAGGTGCGTGGTACCTTACCTTACTTTACTACTTTGTACCTGGAGATCATCCTCGTCCCGCTGCGTCGGTGCAACTCTTTCATTTCGCATCCATCACAACTTTTTCCCTCCAAGGTCTTCAAAGTTCAAGATCTCCACATCCCGTTTGACCGGAGACGTGCAGGTGCAGTTTGCAGGTGCAGCGAAGCTATGGACTGCAACACCACCCCACCCCAACCTGATTGACCACTGACCTGTTCAAGGAAGACAAGCCAATGTTCGTCCTGCGCGGCACCGCGGCTACCGGCCTTGTCTTGCCTCGGGTGCGCCACCGATCTTGCGGCGGACCTGATTCACTTTGCAATAATCTCCTTTTTTCCTCGATGGTGTACCCTATTCGTTCTTGGAGGCTTGGAGCTCAGCTGATGAACGACGTCGGCCGAACCGCCGCCGCTACCGTCTATCCAACGCTGTCGGAAAAAAGCAATTTATCGCATTACCTACAGCGATACGTTTGGCCTACACGTCCGCATCTGGACACGAATTCATGCGGGTGGCAGAAGACTATTGAAAAAGCTCAAGTCGATTTTCCCATTCTGGAAATGCAGACGACGTGGCCGTGGAAAGGCAGCAAAGGTTAAACATGATTTCCACATCATGATGCGTACGAACCACGATGCTGCCACAGATGGATGAATACCTTACGGCTGTGGCTGACTCGTCATGGGCCAGACAGAATCTGACTGCGAATGGGGATCCGGATACCCAAGATGCAATGCCATGCGCTACCTGTCCATGCCAACTCACTCTGCGCTGCGATGTGTTGTAAACTGCGGACTGCGGACTGCGTACTGCACATGGCGCTTGGCCAATGCAAGATTCGTTCGCGCGCCCGTCTCGGGCATTTCTGTGAGGACAGACTGGACAGGACGGGACGTCCGTTTTGGCACCAAAGAGGTCGTGGAGGTGTCGAAGAGTAGCAAGGCTAGAGCTTCTCGCATCCCCATGGTCATCCCGTCTCATCCTGTTTCTTTCTCTCTCTCTCTCATCTCATCCAATTCACCATCTCATCCCTCCCGTCCGTCCATCCATCCATCCAATCCGTCCACCTTCCTCACTCACCTCACAGCCAACGCAAGCCCCACGGACCCCTCCACCCCTCCCTCAGAGGCTGCACCCTCCATCTCGTCGGGCTGTTGTTCCCACTTCCTTGCTGTTCCTGATTGTCTTATTCCCATCCGAGTCAAACGCTAAAGCGCGGTATGCCGGGATTAGCCCCTGTCCCTGTAATTTAGGATGGACGCGCCTCAACTTCCGACGACTGCTCACCTACGTAGTACGCAGTATTCACAAGTACCAACAGCTTCCTCATCACACCTTTTTCTCTCAACTTACATTGTCTTTGGCTACATTTGCGTTTGATACATTCTGGTGCTCTTCAGATCTCGCCCTCGGAACCCGTGATATAAGCTATAGGTTCAGCCAGCAGACCGGGATTCCTATTGACTGCCGCCGCAAAGTCTGGCCATGCCGCGGCCTTGTCAGAAGACTAGTTGTCCACGACCCGTCTGGACGCCATGCCTGGACGCCATGGACTCTCGACTTAGTCTTCTTGGCCGTCTTCTGGCCGAGAGCCGCAGGTCACTCGCTTGTACCCGATGCCGCCAAGAAGGACCTCGCCCTCTCGGTTGGCCACCCTCACTTTGCCTGCCTGCGTTTCTTTTCTCAGAACGTCCGTGGTATTCATCTCCCGTACCCGCGCGCCGTCTTGCTTGTACTTCCTCTTCCGATCCTGAGCCGCTACGGTTCTTGCCATCCCAGTTAGGCTGGAAGCCCATCACTGCGAGAAGGTTGTAGAGCATGCAAGGCAGCTCCAATCTTGGTCTGATCTCACTCTTACCATGTACATGGTGGCTAGAAAGGAAGCACTCCATAGTCTTTGGCCATCTCAAAGGGTTCCATGCGTTACCTCAGTCCCGGAGGTTTAATTCGCCATGTGGGAAGGATTGCACATTTCGCTGTGACGAGTGCATCGTAGCTGAAGCCATCCGCGTGTACTCGTGCACCAATGATGCCCTGTTCGGTGTCACCAGCCGGGTCCGCATCTCTCCCATGGATCTCCCACTCCGGCATTAACACTCTCCTCCTTGTCCTATATAGTTTGATCACCTCCAGGTCTCGACTCCACTCCATGACATCTGGGCTGTTCCCTGCCCCTGTCTGTACCCTTTCTTTTCTTCTTTTCCATCCTCCCCTCTTCTCTGCTGTCAGCCCGGGAGCTGTCTTGTCCTAATCCCCCACTGGTCCCTGGGGTTCGAGTCGATGCTGGCTGACCATTGTTCGTTCATCTAATAATACCTTCCTTCTCCCAGTTCCCCCCTTCAGCTTGCCCGTGTCTTCCACCGACTCTTTTCTTGCTGCCGGCATCCCCTCCTCTCTTCACGTCACAAGTGGTTCAGGTGAATACAGACTATCGATGCTCGGAAACTGTTTCGACAACACCAAACACTAATACTGGTATAATAATTTGGATTCGACACCTGGTGGCCAATTCGTCATCATGGCGAGGTGGAATCGTCTGATCTCATGGGGCCTTCTCTTAATCTTCCTTCAGGCGGCTCTTGCTCAAGCTTTGGTGCCCGTCAGACGTCAAGAAAGCGGGACTACTACAGCAGCCGTTGCCTCTTCTACTTTGTCACGAAGCGCACAAGATGCTGAAAGTACTACATCGCCGGCATCTTCACTAAGGACAGCCGCAGTCACTACCACCGAGTCGCCTTCTGCTTCCGCTACAGTCTCTAGTCCTCCCATCATCCCAACTACTGGCAGCACCTCTGGAAACTCAAGCCTTGACAATTGTAAGTGAACTTCTCATCGAACACCTAGCACCAACACCAAACCCTAGACAAGGCTGACACTTGACACAGCTACCATGCTGGCAGGAGAGCTACCTATTGAGCCAAAGGTCACACCAGGCTGGGCTGTTGCTGGTGTCATCTTGCTCTGCACTGGGGTCATCTACAGCTTGATTGGTATCAAGAATACAGTCTTGCACACTGCCTTCTCCGTTGCGTACGTCGTCGCCTTGGGTATCACAGTCTTGGTCGTTTATGTCATGGTCATTCCAGTGTCCAACGGATCCCAAGGAGCCTATGTCGTCGCAGCAGTTTTACCGGCCGTCGCAGTTGGCGTTCTCGCTTCCTGGTTCTTCAAAGAAATTACGGAATGCCTGGGATGTGCTCTCGGCGGATTTTGCTTTTCAATGTGGCTGCTTTGCGTCCACGAGGGCGGCCTGCTTACGGGAGTCGGCAAAGCCATTTTCATCATTATTTTCTCACTAGCAGGCTTTGCATTGTACTTCAGCCGATGGACTCGGGACTGGGCGCTCATGTGTACGATCGCCTTCAGTGGTGCCACGGCAACTGTGCTCGGAATCGACTGCTTCAGCCGGGCTGGGCTGAAGGAGTTTTGGGCGTACATTTGGGACCTGAACGACAACCTCTTCCCTCAAGACACCAACACGTACCCGCTAACAAAGGGCATTCGCGTTGAGATTGCCGCTATAATTGTAATCACTGTTATCGGCGTCATTTCTCAGAAGAGATTGTGGAACGTCATCAAGGATAAACGTACGAAGCGGGAAGAGGAATTGGCCGAGGCGCAGCGTGCCCGTGATGACGAAGAGACCAACATTGGAAGAGAGCTCGAGGCTCGCACCGCTTTGGAGCGACGGGCGTGGGAGAGAGCGCACGGAGATTACACACCAGACAGCGATGATCACGACTCCGGCTTTGCTCGCGACAGCGAGAGCGAGAAGGCTATTCGATACAGCCAGAGCACCGCTACTCCTCGATCACACGCCCCTCCCGTGGCTGAAATGCAAGGGTCGGATGTTCCTCCCGCTGTTCCCCCAAAGCCAGAGTCTCCAGGTCTGATGGTTTCCGAAAAGGAGAAAGAAGTCGTTGTTACAGTACGCGTCGCTCCGGATGAAACTCACAGAGAACCCGTTGCTGCGGACAACGTCACTGATCCTACTGTTGTTCAGAGCGTGCAAGAGGTGGCACCGGTTCCTGAAGTGGTACCTTTGCCATTCAGATTCCCTGATGAGGAGGCTCTAGCCAGAGACAAAGAGGAGCGGTCCACGATCGCAACTTTTGCCGACGATGATGAAGAGATTCAGGCAGGCGTCGGCAGCAAGAGGAGTTCCTTTGCGAAGCGACTCTCTCAGAGCTCGGTACAGCTGATGCGGAGGGTTTCTCAGCGGACATCGATGTCGCATCGTAAGGAAGATGACGGTGATGAGGAGCTGGCGGTGCTTCAACGTCCAAGGGACGACGACGCTGTTTCTCTCGCGGCAACTGTTGACACTCAGAGCGACAGCGGCGCCGGATCTGTGAACGGTGATCACCGTCGCAGTATTGAGATCAACGCACAGCTCTCTGGAGAGCAACAGTCGAGCATCAAGCCGGAGACTACTACATCAGCATCGGCATCTCGACAGAGCGTCACCGATGGAGACTCCGTTAGACCAGTGTCAGCCATGACGGCTGTCACTGACATGCCAGCCCAGCCTCTGGCCAAGGATGCGACTCCTGCTGCTGTCGAAGAGAGGGCGCCGGAAACCGCAATCGGTGATGTTGCTCAAGAAAACAGCTCGGTGAAGCTGTCTGAGTCGGGCGAGAGTCGACAAGTCCCCGTTCCTTCTCAGCAAGCCAAATCAACAGCCTCGCTTCATTCCACGCCTCTGAATCTTACCCAAGAGCGTCTGCCGCCCAGCTTCTCCAACGTTGCGCTACACTACCGCACAAACGAATGGGCAAAGCACCTTAGCCACGCCGACGCACCCGAGCCTGAGATCTTAAAGGTCGGAGACGACAGACCGCAGACCCGGGAAGCCCCAGCGCCTGTGCACGTCGATGAGCTTAAGCAGACGGCCTTGTCTGCCACGCCTGCGCCTGCACCAACTCCTTCGAGATCGCCCGCTCCCGTCGCGACACCTCCGCCGGCCTTGACCCGACCCAAGTCAACCCAGTCACCGAACCGTGGCCACTCTAGAAGCAGCTCGTACCAGTCACATCGCCGTGCTTCGAGCAAGACGCAGTTCGAGCCCATCGCCGAGGAAGAGCAACAGGCGCTCTCTAGAGCTGCGAGCACAAGAAGCGGCGCCTCTGGCATCGCTAACTCAGCAACAGCTCCAGCTGTCTTTGTTCCCCCGCCGCCGCCACCCGGCATCATGTCTTACGACAGCCCTCAGAGCTTGATCGCACAGAGAAGCGTCGCTCTGCGCAACAAGACGTACGGAATTCTGACTGGCGCCAACAACACGCCTGAGATACCTGCCGCCTCCTACAGACCACCCAGCGAAACCGGCTCCATGTACAACTACCCCGTCTACCCGTCACAGATGCCGCCAGTCTCCCTGGACGACCTCCCATTGAGCCAGCGCAGAGAAATTATCCGTCGCCAGAGCAGTTCCGGCACAATGCGATCCTCCCTCGAAGGCTCTAGGTCAGCCAGCGGCTCTTACGTACCCAGCGTTTCCGCCGACAACCTCGCCTTCGACTCTCATCAGCCCATGCGTTACTCCAACGTTCCCTCGCAAGACGCCCGTGACGCCCGGCTCGCGAGCTTCCGAGACTCGGTCCGCGCCGATCTCCGCGCCGGTACGGCGTCCCCCGCTCCCGCCGCCAATGGCCGCGACATGGCGCTGAGCATGTTCCGGTCGCCAAGCGCGTCGAACCTGGCGGCTAGCCAGGCCGCCGCGCGCGAGGCCGAGGTGCAGAGGAACATTGACCTGCAGCGGAGCTTCATGATGAGCCAGAAGGAGGCGGAGGCGAAGCGCAAGGAGAAGGCGAGGATCGATAAGGAGAGGTCCGATCAGGCTTTCACGAGGAGCATGCAGAGCGGGGAGATGTTTGAGTTGCACCGCGAGGCGATGCGTAGGATGCAGAACCAAGCTAGGAATGCTTCGGGTGATGCATAATTCTTTTAAGATTCTTTCTCTTACCTTTTCTTTTCTTTTACTCTCTCTCTCTTACACAATATTGGTAGATACCCTGGTTTGGAAAATAACGGTTTACATCACAGAAGGTTGGAGGAGACACATGGGAAAACAGCACTTCAGGAAACCGATCAAGGATACAACATGATACAGATGATGGAAAGATTACTTTCTCTAGATGAAGGGATACGAGGTTAAGAGGAAATGGGTGTATGACACGCGAGAAAGAGACTGAGGCGGGATAAGTTTGACCGCTAGTATTAGTTGTAAACGTAATCAGTAAAATCAACTTATTCAAATAATCTGTTCTCTCATATGATGCTTGTGAGACCTTGATGAAAGGTATTGTACTCCTCCATATTGTAATTTTTAGCATTGGTACCACTGACTCTGAGGAATCCGGGGAACCGGGGGAAGGAAGAGGATGCTATTCGAGCAACCCTTGGATGGTATTCCAAAAGCCGCGGAGCCGAGATGAAAGAAAACTCCGGCCGAGAGCAATTATTTCACACGTGCTTCAGCTCATCAATCACACGCCGGGCATGAACATCGGCCAAATCGGCACGGCACCGAAGCGGAGAAACCCCGAAGTTCTCTAGGTCTCGTGTCTCGCCGTATAAGCCGAAGCTTACTTACTCGAGAAGATGCATCTGTGTATTCTGTACCATCTTCCAGCACTTAATTTAATCACTTGTTCTCACTTCCAGAGATCAAGTGACCTGCGAAAACTTCCTATGCAGGAATCTTGGACGAATCCCACCTTCGGACGACACCGATGTCGGGATTCTCGCCGCGCTCACGTCTACGCCGCCCGGGTATAACCCGGCCCCGCCCTCGCGACGCGAAACCAACGACTCAAAACGCAAGACTGCGAGTGACCTGGGCGTTGGCGTCATCCATTCTCTTTTCCTTGCAAATCACCTAATCTTTGTCTGCGGAGGAAGACTTGTCCGGCACGGTTTGGGAAGAGTAAGTAGATAGGTGCTCTGAGAGAGAGAGACGGCCAAACGTTCGGCTTGCCGTACAAGAAAGGGCCCGTATGTTTGGGACATGAAGTCGTTTTAACCTTAATCCAATACAACTTACCCTCTGGATATAAGTCTTGGCAGCTCATTGCAGGCTAAATCTCTCACCTTACCACACTTTATCTCGATAAGTTAGATCGGCCAGAGATACGGAGGTCTTCCACTCCCGTCACTACATCTAAACAGCCCGACTATCTTACCTTAAGGGAACTCCACCTTTTACGACCGTCCCGACCCGACGACACACCGACGCACCTCCGATGTCTCATTCGGCCTAAGCCGGCGTAAGAGAGAAGTGTGTGCCTCTCAGAAAGCCATGGCCGGCCCCGTGGACGCCCGCGATGAGAGCGCGAAGCCTCAGTCGGCGACCGCACCGACATCCACGTGGACGCGCATCCGGATCAAGGCAGTCAAGATTTTCAAGCTCGTTTTGGCGCAATGGCTCGTTATCGGCTTCGCTCTGAGCTGTGTTTTTGCGTATTTTTTCCCGAGTAAGTTGGCATCTATGAGGGTCCTTTTCATGTGAGATTGAGAATGAGCGAGGGAGAGAGAGAGACACAGAATGAACTTGAAGACAAATACATGACTAACAAACTGAACTACAAGATGTCGCGGCTAGAGGTGGACCCATCAGGTCAGAGTACACCATCATCTATGGCGGCATCGCCATCATCTTCCTCGTCAGCGGCTTGCAGCTCTCGCACGCGAAGCTGAGGCAGAATGTAGCCAATTGGCGTTTGCATGTCATCGTCCAGGGTATCAGCTTTATCGTGATTCCCGTAATACTACTAAGTAAGAAACTCACTTGACATGAACATGCCGCTCATAAGTCCCCAAGGGATGGAGGCATTGGGCGAAACATCCATCTCAAACCATAAACTAACACAACCCCAAAAGTCATCGTACACATCATCATCGCAGCAGGCGGTCTCCGCACCCAAGCCCTCGCAACCCCCATCATTGTAGGCATGGTCGTCGCCTCCTGCCTGCCAACAACAATCGCCTCCAACGTCGTAATGACCCGCGCCTCCGGCGGCGACGACGCAGCCGCCATCATCGAGGTCGTCATCGGCAACGTGCTAGGCAGCTTCATCTCTCCTGGTCTAATTTACGGGTTCATTCCCAAGACGCCCGAGTTTGCCGACTGGCAGCCCGCGAACCCGAGCACCCTGGGTGCCATGTACGCCAATGTGCTGAAGCAATTGGGCTTGAGCGTGTTGTTGCCGTTGGCTGTGGGACAGGTCGTGAGGTGGTTCTGGGAGAAGAAGGTTGATTGGGCGCTGAGGACGTTTTATCTTGCCAAAGTGTCGACGTTTTGTCTGATTTTGCTTGTCTGGTGAGTTGGTGTTGCCCCTCTTCTTGATATACCCTCGCCCCTTTCACGGCTTTCTCTTCGTGATACACGGTTCGTGATCCTAACACTGGATAGGACAACCTTTTCAGCAGCCTTCAAAACAGGCGCTCTCTACGTAACCCCGCATCCCTCTATAATCTTCAACGTCTTCATGAATGTCGCCCTCTACGCCCTCTTCACCCTCATCTGCTTTTACGCCGCCCGCCCTCCCATAGCTCTCTGCAAGGCGATCAACCCCCGCCTGGCCGAGTCTCGCCCCCTGAAGTCCCGCTGGGTCCCCAATTTTCTCCGGCGTGCCCTGACGGTCCGCCAGCTGCCGAGGGAGCAGATGATTGCCGTCTGCTTCTGCGGCGCGGCCAAGACAACTTCACTTGGTATTCCCCTGGCGACGGCTATGTGGACGCAGTCGGATGATTTGACGAGGGCGCTGATTCAGATTCCGGTGCTGCTGTATACCATCGAGCAGGTGTTTATGGCGCAGATTTTGGTGTATGTCTTTAAGTGGTATTTGAGGAGGGCTGCTAAGGCTGAGGGGGATGAGGAGGGGGACAGTGTTGCGTCTGGGGTTGCGAGTGTGGCGGGGCAAGGGAGGGGGGAGGAAGAGGGAGATTGCCTGTCTGAGAAGTCAGTTGGTGAAAGGGACGGTGAGAAGAAGGGCGGGGAAGGAAGAGGAGGGAAAAATGCGGTGCCCGTCAAGACCATTTCTGAGGCATAGTTGGTGTATATCACTTGCAGCATCTAGAGTCTGTGTTACATAGCTAACGGGAGTTAAACTAATGGGGAAAATCGAAGGCGAGTAGTGAATCGGAAGCGTCCTTCAACTTGCTCTCAATGGTTCATGTGTGCATTTGCCAAGGTTGCCTGCCTCACTTGTTAACGTGGCTTATCAATCACTGATGATATGACGATATATGCCAATCAACTAACGGCACTGGTCAGATTTCATGTATGTTCAATGTAGCTCTGCAAAAAAAACTAGGCAGCCTGCATGACTGAGGTTACCTACATTATCTTACTTCGCCGTGCTTGCCTACTTATACAGGCAGCCAAGTGGCTGTGATCCGTCTGCAACTCGGCATTGCGCGAAACAACCGACTCCCATCGTGACAAATAGTCGGCTTGTTCCTACACCAGACGTTCAGCCTGAAAATAATTTTGTCTATCTTCATTCTTTACCCTTTAAGCCTTCATATCAGACGCCGGATTTGTCCCAAAGCGGACTTTCATCATGGACACTGCCGGATCGAAGTGTCCCGAGAACCAGAACTCTACGGAATGCCTGCTTCGAGCTCTTCTGAACGTCCTCGCGGAGCAAAAGCAAGCATCAGATAGAAGCATCGATTGGGATCCCATCACATTCGGCCTTACGCTCTTGATTGGATTGGTAGCTTCCTTGATTGCTCTTGCTACTGTCTTTCAAGCTGTTCTTGCAGGTGGGAAAGGCGGCCGTAGAGCAAATTCACGAGCCATCGGCAAATGGTCGAAGCACACGACTAGAAAATGGATCCTTGCAGAAATGAGCTGGAGCTACACGGCTTACACGCCTGCTCTGAACATGTGGACCCTAAAAAAGACACTCGATTCGGCAAGGCTTGAGATCGAAGAACGGCGACGGACAAAGAAGAGAGAACCGGACCTAGGCATGCCCAGAAAGCTTCTCCTATGGGGAAAAGATAAGCTGAGTGTTTTCAGGAGGGATTCCGTAAGCGTCGCGCCATATCCAGCTACATGGCTTGGTCTTCTCGAATACACTGGGTTAGTGGGTTACAATCTCCCTCTTGCGCCAATTACCGCCGACTACCTTCCCGATGACTTCATTACTGTTCCTGCTTCTGCGGAGGTCGGCGTAATTGTAGTCATCACTGCAGTTGCCGGGGTGCTGTGGTTAGACGATGATTTGTGTGTATATCCAACTATCGTTGGTTACAACTTTCAATTTGATTTCCGTCAGCTTCCAGTTCTCGGCATCATCGGGGCCTTTTCCGAGTATCGCAGATTCGAGAACGGTTCGTTTGATCGGACGCCTAGCTCGGAAAAGATCGCACAGGCTATGAAGCATTCGCGTGGCATGATTGAGCCGCTGTTCGGGTATTCGAATGAAGATTCAGCTTTCATTATCCGCAAGACCCCAAGAAATTTGAATATGCATCTTCTACGCGCATACATCCTCCCCAAATACAAAGGGCGCGATTGCTTTGTACAAGATTATGATTTCCTCGACCAGAACCAAGTCCTGATTGCCAGCTTCATCTTGGCCAAGTCACCAAGGTTCGCCCCGTCACTTTTCCCATCACCAGAATGGAAGGGGCATAACCCATTTACAGCAATTGCTCTCAATGGAAAGTTTTGGTCAAAAGTCAGACCGCGTGACTTTGAGGAGTCAAATTGGAAGTATGAGCCTAATATGGAGTTATTGTCAAGGGAATCAGTCCAGGAACACTTTAAATGGCTTGAAATATCGCCAGACGCTGCTGATGAGACAGTTGATGGGATCTATAAGCAACACCAAAGACCTTCCCCATCTGGGGTGAAGCACCAAACTATTTTATTATGCCTGGGACTTCTCAAGGATCCTCGAGAGCTCCAGGTGAAGATATCACAGCTTCCATTTGAGAGGAGAGAGACGCTTCGCCAAGCCGTACATGTACACCTGAGGTTGACAGACGAATGGCTCGCATCAACTCAGGACGAAGAGCTTGTTTCCCTTCGAACTCAACATCTGCTTTTTACCTCTATAATCTTGTCAAAAGCGGAGAGCATGACGCAAGGTGGCCTGTTCGAGGTTACGGGTGCAACAAAGTTGAATCCAAAGCAAACTGAGCAGCAGCAGCAGCAGCCGCAGCCACCACTAACTGTGCAAGATGTTCACTTCAAGATGCTTGGAGCCCTCAGAGGCCTCATGAAAGACTTCGATATCAGCCAGAGAAGCTTTGAAGCCGTCCTCAAAATAGCACAGAGAGATTGGGAGGAGGGTTTCGAAAACCTTAGACGCCTACAAGATCACTTACGCCACGAGGTCTTCACTGGCTCACGAGCTCAGGCAGGGCAGCAAGTCACTCTTGAGGACAAAACAATTCAAGACGATTTCGAAAAAAAGCTACAGGAGTCTCAGTCTCAGATGAGGAGTTTGATAGGACCCAGATGTGACCTACGAAGCCGCTTCTTCAACACCCATCAAGTACTGAACAGATTAGCCACAGTGGTGGGTTGTCATTCTGATTCAGAGGATCGAGATAGGCAGACCGAGAAACCGGACATGATCGATGATGTCCTCATCTTTCGCTCTCTTCTCATAGGGGTATTATTTCTTACAGCTGTCGACAATTCTAAGGTACTTGAATCAGGAGTGTGGGATCGTGTGGTTCCTATTATTTGAGGATATGAATGGAGTTGGTCGGGGTGCCTAGACTTGAAGTCGCTCAATCATCCGTTGATGATTTGCCTGATGTCAGGGTCCTCCTGGATAGGGTTGTCACAGGGGCAATGGGGAGGATTCAAGCAACAAAGGAGCAGCTCGGGTATATATATATATAGCGCAGGGAGTGTGCATCTATGGAGGGGCAGTCTTTCGTCATTCATCTCTTCGACCCTTACAGCACTTGGCCTCTGTGAGCTTCCTCTCCGTGTTGTACACCTATTGACACCTAATTAGGTAATCGAACCCTCTGGTTTATTGGCGCGTACTCTTGCTATATTGTGCTTTTTCGTGTTTCCTTAGATCGCAGTCTAGCTAGATCTTTGAATTTTCAAGCGCGTAAAAATTGCTGCGTGACAGCCGAGCTCTCTTATCTGTCTATTATTGATAACTCAGAGAGACATTTTGGAGAAATCACCTTGAAGAAAGAAGAAAAGAAACTAGCCCGAATCAATGCTCCAGTCTTCTCCGTGATCGGCGGCGTCTGCGACCATTATCTAGTGTTTCCGGGGGGCTCGTGTCGCAGACTCGCTGTCTCTATGTTAGCCGCGCTGTTTGCAAATTACTTGACACTTCCAGCAGACTTACTTCCCGACGTTCCCTGAACTCCTCGTAGATCCCACGCCAGATATCTCTCGCTGCGCAACTTCCAAGTCCATCCATCATGGCCACACATTTAGGCTCTCTCTCCCGGACCAAGTTTTCGGGGGCGTCCAACCAGGGTTTAGGCAAAGGCCAGTCCGAGAAATGCAGCAACTTTGCCTCGTTGTAGACGGCGACTGGGTCCCAGGCTTCTTCGTCGCTACCAAGGTACCATTGATGGTTGTCTTTGCTAAACTCCCCCGTTAAAAGATCGTAAGGCCGGTGCGGTAGGACCATGGCGCTATCCTGGTATAACTCGTTGACGAGCTCCATGTCGTAATCGTTTCTTCCGGCATTATTGATCTTGGATGTAATGCGGGTGAATTCCACTTGACTTGGTTGAATGAGAATAACTTGAGAGGATAAAATGTGTTTGTCTGGGTGAAGCCAATACGCACGTGGCATGGCGACTGTGGTTGACGGAAGAGAGAAGAGCTCGTCCATGTGTTGTAGGAGAGTTGAGTCCGAGTCGATTGAAAGTACGCGGTCGTATTTCGTCTGGTTAAAGGCGAGAAGTTTTGTGAAAGAATCCGCCCAGGTTGCTAGATAAGAGCTCCATGTCAGCTCTTGGCGGCCAGGATGATGATCCTGGAGGGGCGACTTACGATCTGAGCCTGTTCGATGTTGAACTGATATTGGATCAAGCTTTAGGTTGTACTTCTCCCGAGCAAGGATGAGGAGTTTGGCATCATCTGATGAATCTTCATGTTCCTTCCCATGAGGATCAGCGAGCATGACGGAGGGGTACATCAGGACTCGGTCCGCTTTACTCTCAAGTTCTTGCAGCCTCTCAAAAAACATGACCGAGTTACAGAGATAGTCTTTATTAGTGACATACTGGACGTACGCAAACCGAGACCAGTCTACAGACTTGACGTCAGGTGACTCGTCGTGTTGAGAAGTTGAGTAAGCTGCTCGGATGGCTTCAATCTGATCACGGTTGTAGACTCCAACACCCGATAGCAACAATAGCCCAAGAATAGTGAACGCAGCCAACTTGAGCTGTCTCAGAGTAAAGATTGTAGGGGAAGGCCTGCCCTTCCATGGTAAAGAACCCGAGAAGGCCGCATCGTCGGTTTGAAGCGGCGTGTAGGCAAAGCGGCCGCGGAGCCACTGAAGTGGCATAATAAGAACGAGGACCAAGCCGCAAAAGCGATAATCGAAGAAAGCAAACCACGCAGAGTTCTAGAGTGTCGTTTGAACTGGGGACACGAGCTGGGGATATAAGTGCGCACAAAGACTGTGGCTCACCCACTTTGGGAAACATGCTTAAGCATCTGCAAGGGGGTGAGGCCAGCGGGAGGACATTGCCAAGTCCATCCAGCCGCTCTGCCCTGAACCTGGAGAAATTGGCAGATGGAGTCACGATGTATGCCATGCCTGGCGCGATTCCGTGATTCCTCGGCAAGGATCGCGCGGGCAACGGCATCTGGCCTTCTTGGCCTGTCGCTGAGACGAGACATTGTCTTGCTGTCATTTTGCGCGAACTGAGATCTTTCCGAACCGCGTCAGGCACCAAAGAGTCTCTGCGTTGGTTCTCGGCCGAAGCTCAAATAAAAGCAAACAGGGTGCTTGTTGTCTCAAACCGTTCAGTTGGAACTGGACGCCATTGGCTGAAGCCAGATATTGTTGCTCTCTGTAGGTCAAGCTGGGCAGAGTCCCACTTGATAAAGAGAACGCGCTGGCGAAATGCTTATGATTTCAAACAGAGCCTTTGTCTGTTTGTGATATCTGTGGTTGCAACTTGCATGAGACAAAGAGCTGGTGATGCCTAAGGTGATGCTGAAGCAAACAACTCGAGCCGCCCTTTGGGCCCTCTTCTCCCTTCTACTGCGATTTCAATAGCTCAAACGCGACTACGCATCTAAAGCCGGGAACTAAAACAGCGCCGAGGCCTTGCAGGTGGGCAGCGGCTCCATGTTCGGCATCGTATTATGGCCCAACATCAAGAGCTGGGTGGTCGGGATTAACCCAGCCGCCCAGCCGACCCATTGCTGGGTCGACCGTATGCGGCTCAAATCAGGCACATCCGATACCGTACATAAGCCCTCTTTGGACCTCGCTGGCTTTTCGCTTATCTTTACTTCGTCGATAATTAATTTCATGGCATACCGTGATCCGTGGCATCCACGGCGCTCGCAACTGTGAGGGGCCTGTATACCACAGGCAAGTCATAAATGACAGCCAGCGAATTCTTCGTTCTTCGAATATGTCTTATTCACGTGAAGACACAGGGAATATGAGAAGGGAAAAAGGCCGAGCCGGCATGATTCGTGGCATGTTGGCTATGGAACCCCCTTAGCCCAAAGTCTGGTTCGGCAGTTCTTCATGGCTTACAAAGGCCGCCTCAATTGCTGGTTGACAAGCCATGTTAGCTCTGGGTGATATGTACCTAAAGTTTTTAAGCGAGGTTCAAATGTAACCGAAAACACGAAGTTTAGCCGGTAATCACAATCCAGCAAGAGAACCTAGATCTCATACTCCAGTTCACTCCATGATCGACATCAGACTTAAGCCTTAATTCGGTATTTATATCCAAACTACATATTGGATCGCAACAAAGAATCTTCATACATCATCATGAGCAGCTCAGTGCTCTGTACATTTTCATAACTGATATGCATATCCAAGCTTAATGGATGCCCTTTAACCTGCTCTTCCTATACGTCAACTCTCACACATGGTGATGTATACTTAGGCCTTCTTGATGAGACTGTCAAAGAGGGGCTTGAGGCTCTTGGCGCTCTTCTTGGGGTATCTCTTCTGGTCGTTCTCATAGTCGACAAAAGTGACGCCGAAACGAGTCTCGTAGCCCTCGGCCCACTCGAAGTTGTCCATAAGGGACCACGCCATGTAGCCCTTGACGTTGACACCGTCCTTCTCGTGGGCATCGGCCATGGCCTTGACATAGCCGTCAAAGTACTTGACACGGAAGTCGTCCTCGAGAATCTGCTCAAGGGGCATGTCGTTCTCGCCCTTGAGGGAGGTACCGTTTTCTGTGACGTAGATGGGCGGGTAGCCGTAGCGCTTGGAGAGCCAGACAAGGAGGTTGTGGAAGCCCTGGGGGTTAGGGCGCAGCCAGAAAGATTGGGTCTCTTCGCCGATGTTCTCACCGCTCTTGGACTCGAAGAGGGTCTCGAGGTTACCAAGGAAGTCGTCCTCCTCAGGAGGGGTGGTCTTGTGCTTGATGTAGTTGGCCGTGTAGTGGTTCATGCCGTAGAAGTCGTTGGATCCCTTGACAAGGGCGAGTTCCTCGGGCGTAAACTCGGGCAGGCGGTCCCCAAGCTGCTTGAGCATGGAGTCGGGGTACTTGCCGAAGTAGATTGGGTCAGCGAACCAGGAAATGGCGAACTCGATCTTGCGGTCAGAGGCCTCGACGTCCTCAGGGTCCTCAGGGTCCCAGGGGTAAGTGGCATCACCGTTCAAGGTGATACCAATCTGGCCACCATTGGTGGGCTTGAACTCCTCGCGGTAGACCTTGACTGCGCGGCCGTGGGCAACGAGCAAGTTGTGGCCAACGATCCAGGGTTCGCGGGAAGAGTCACCGATGGCGGACTTGCTGCGGTCTGAGGTGTGACCGGGTGCGAAAAAGCCACTGCTGTAGCCGAGAATGGAGGAACACCAAGGCTCGTTGAAGGTGATCCAGTTCTTGCACTTGGGAATGGCCTTGAAGACGATGCGGGCGTAGTGCTCAAAGTCGAGAGGGAACTCCTCACGGTTCAGGAGACCACCGTAGCGCTTGTCGAGTCCATCGGGGAGATCCCAGTGGAAGAGGGTGATGAATGGGGTGATGCCAGCCTCAAGGAGGTCGTCGACGAACTTGATGTAGTGGTCAAGGCCGGCCTGGTTGATGGGGTCGTTGCGACCACCGACAGGGATGATTCTCGACCAGGCAAGGGAAAAGCGGTAGGTGTTTGCGCCAACGGACTTGAGCAGGGCAATGTCTTCGGCAGTGCGGTTGTAGGAATCGCAGGCGACGGCACCGGAGCTGCCGTCGGCAATCTTGCCGGGGATGGCGCAGAAGGTGTCCCAGATGGAAGGACCACGACCGTCCTTCTCGGCGGCACCCTCAATCTGGTAACTGTAGTGGTAGACAAATAGCGTCAGCAGGGGTCTCGCATGTTGTGTCGTCGTGGTCGCTAAGTGAGGGGAGAGGGGAAAGACGATAGTGGGGGCAGCTCGGAGGGGAAGTGGAATTTGCAGGCGGGACGGGAAAGACGGAGGGAAGAGGGCGAAGTGTGGTGGGAGAATGCTTGTAAGTCATCCAAATCGGGATATCGGCGGAAGAGGGAGCGAATATGCATGGTGATAACAACCAGACCGGGGCATTGGGGATGGGCCGAGCCGGGTTGATGATGAGATGAAATACGTACGATGCGGTGGCAAAGCCCCAAAGGAAGTCGTTGGGAAGAGACATGATGGACGGGTTTGAAGGGCGACCAGCTACGGAGAGGAGGTTTGGTATTATGATTCTCAGAGAGTCGTCAGTCTGCGAGGCACCTACGCTAAGACTGATGGGGCGGTTTCGATGGGCTTGACGGTGGGATGATGATGGCTCAGCCAAGAGTAGATTATTTGCCCCGACAAGAAACGAACCACTTGATAACAAGTGGTCAAAAGAGATCGAGAAGAGAGATGAGATGTAAAAGGAGGCGACGGGGAGAGGAGGGAGCAAGATGGGATCGTACAGATGGACAGTGAGGTGCTGCCACGATACTTATAAGATGCAAAAGAAAGACGGAAGGAAGCAGCGCGGCGCAATTAAAACGGCATTGTGACCTTGGGATGGACGGGGGTACTTGGACGTCCTTGGTAGGTTTAGGCAAAAGGAAAGGTAGCCAGATACAAGGATTACTCGAGTATAATAAACTAAGGTAGACAGGGCAGGGAAGGAAGAAAAAAAGATGGGACAAACACCCGCATCGTGTCAAGGTATCCGTCTGTACTCAGCGTGCAGGTGTGCAGTGAGAGTGAGGTACAGACTGGGCACATCAGACAACGACATGGGACGGATGGACGTGGTATCAGGTAGCGCCTTGGTCAATCTGGTACTCTGGACGTCTCCAATGTCGGACCGTCGACACCGAGAAGCTAGGACTAGAACATGGCCCGAAGATGGATGGTGCTGGCGTTGGGATTGGCATTGGCGTCGGCGTTGGATGGATGGGTCGGAGGCGTGATCTGGCAAGTTACCTACCTTTGGTTCGTAAAGATGAGGCGTCCAACGTGAGTTTTCTTTGCCCGCCAGTAGCGTCTACTTTGAGCGGTGTACCTATCTCGTTACCCAGATGGCGCGGGGATTTTCCGACAGTAGAATGTGCGTGGAACACCGAAAAGAAGCGCATCGTCATGTTCCATTCGCTAGAGTCGGCAGAGGCTACGGGAGAGATGGAAGGAATGAAGGCAGTAGGGAAATGTCCACGGCAGCTGCCGCCAGTAGAGTGACCTTGTGCAACCTTGATGTACGTGTACATGGAATCCTGTGAGACGGGGGGCAAGCACGTCCTCATCACGATGCCTCTTTCCAAATGAATTTGGAGGCGATGGAAAAGAAGTACGAATAGGCAAGTATCTACCTTCTTTCCCTCCTTGGGGTTTCTTCGACCCGACACCCAACAGGGGAAGTGCATCTGCGCCTAGGCCAGGGGCGCCTTCCATTACCCCGCCGTGGGGTCCCCTTTTTCCCAAGTGCTCCCCATTTCTCTCCTCTCCGCCGCCGCTTCCCAGAGTCTAGAGAGCACACGACGGCCCGTCTATCCGTCAAAACATGACCTTTTCTCTGCCCAGCTCGTCTTACGGTTTACCAGCACCAGCCTCCAAGAGCCAATTCGAAACACGAACAAACCTCGATTCCTCACCTGACGATCTCCGAACTTATATGATTGGACACTTGTCTCTATTCGGCACAAGCGCCAGCATGAATTCGCTGTAATTTCGGCAGCCCACGCACCAAGTTCTCCTTGCACATCACACGCACAGGTTGTGTAAAACATACCGGTACGGACACATATGCACACTGGATGGCCGGCGACATGCATATCGCCAAACGCTGTCGCCAAAACTCCGGTGACGGCTCAATTCCGCCGGCCGCTAGCGCAGTCTGAGCTGGTCCCAACGTCTGATTGCCTCGCCAGGATCGGCTGGTAGCAGACATGGAGCAATGCTCGCAGCACACTCTGCAAGGTCTCGTCCTACGCAATCGCTCGCATAAGGCGACCGACCATGGCCACGGGGAATCCTCCCGAGCTCTCCTTGACTCCCAGACAACGGGTAACCGGCCGCTACTGCCACGATTTTCCTTACTTTGGTCACGCCCAATCCAAAATTTCAGAAAACTCCCGGCTCCGCGAACAAAATCCCGTCGCTCTCGGTGAGCGGACGCCGGACGGGGGAGTCTCCCTTCCACCTGTATCTACCTACACCCGGCTCGTCCAATGTCACTCCAAGAAGCTTCTCCAACTCCGGCTATCGTCCCATAATCTCCGCACCATCCAGTTTTCTCGTCCCCAGCTTCATAGCAAGACTCTGATATAGACGGCATCTCAACTTCAGAACACCTGGCATTATTTCAAGGCTTCTTGCGGTTGCTTTTTCTCCGTCCGGCGCTTTTATCAAGCGGCTCATGGATGGATGTACAGATACGACTTTACGAGGAGCTGCATCCTGCTTGAAATCCAATTCCGCCCCTCCAAGGCCGACAGCCCCAGCGTGAGCACCTTAGTTTGCGCGATTACAACACGCCGTATCACATGAAGAACCACGGATCTGTTGTTTCTACGCGGAAGGCCTACGCCTCTCCCGGTCATCCAAGGAAACGATGCAACTGCTTGGTGTCTTCTCGATTTCGGTTGACAAAGCCGTCTGCCCGGCTGGCGGAGCCTTCACTTACAGCCAACAGGCCTTCGGTCAAGGTAGCGGAAGCTCAAAACGACACAAAACAACACCACTTCCGGAAGATCATCGGAGATTTTGCAACTTCTATTCCCTGCTGGGGCATGTGTGTACATGGTAGCATCTACAGCTATCTCAAGGTACCTTCATCTTTGCTGCTTTCATCGTGGACGCTGCAGTCAGTACAGCGCGCATGCCTGCCTGCCTCTTTGAAGCTCATTTCAATTCTTTCCGTAACTGCTACGCAGCACATCCTCTGATGTGTGCAAATCAAAAGTGCCATCTTTTGGGACTGCCACATCTTTGCGCCAACTTTTCAAGACTAACGGGACAGAGTCTTCGCCAGAAGCAAAGTCTTTGTTTTGGAGACTCTATCCGGAGCCTCACCGAGGTGTACGGAAGCCGGGACGAAGGTGAGCCGGCCCAGCTCGAGACGGCCCTGGACTCATTACGACCTACCCTGCCGCTGCAATGCACGGCATGGACAAGGCTTAATGCATGCCGTCGACAGCCGCATCCTCGTCCTCTCGGTCGTTCATTTTGCGTTTTCCGGGATGATTTGTCGTCATATTAACATCGCCATCCGCTGCTGCGGCCACGTCGGGAGCATCGTCTCCCTCGGTCCACTCTACAATCTCCCATTCAACCCTAATTTTCCCGTCTCTGCTATGATCAACAACCTGGCTGTGACGCAAGTTGCCCAAACGGGTACCATCGATCATGCCCTCGAACCAAGGAACGCCCTGGGTTTCCCTCCCAATTACCGTGGTTGTTGTCGGAACAGCGGGCTGTTCTTCCGGCTCTTCAAACTCTGGAATCAGCCCCAGATCTTCCAGATCTCGAAGGTCTTCACCTCGCAGGCTCGCAAGGGTCAGGTGGATGAACCCCGCCTCGGTAGGGGGTCTCTCGGTCCAGTAGGATAGCGGCGTGCCGCAGAAGCCGCAAAAGTTTCGTCTCGAAGGGTGGTGGTTGGAGGTTGATTCGAAAACGCGGCGGATCGCCGAGTACCTTTCGTCCGGGTAGAAGGCGTGGGTTGAGCTGTGATACCACGAGAGTGGCACTCGGATCATGGCGGCCAGTGGGGTTGCGAGAGGAACTCCTGCGCATCAGATCATGGGTTAGCGGAGCTTCTGCCCTCGAAGAGGTGAGGCACGATCGGCTGTATGCACGGCGGGATTATTTGAGAACGCCTGCTCACGGAAATCGCGAGAAATTGGCGAGACGAAGCCACTTACTGTGCATTGAGTCTGTATGGAATAGCACCTGGGCTTTCTCGGTGGTGCCTTGCGGGACCTCGATGATGTAACTGTTGCGCCCGCACTGGCAGCCGCCGCGCAACGGACGTTGAAAGCTACTTTCGCTCATGGTCGTCGTCTTTAGAAAGCGGGTCAAGTATCTGAAATGACGATGATGGACTGCTGAATTGGAGGAAGTTTTAAAGGTTAAAGTCAAGCGCTTGCAGGTCAAAGGGCAGAGACGTTTGTCGATGTTTTTTGTTTGTTTGGCGATCCTTACCCCAAAGCTGCAAGCAGGCAGGTCACTGCTTCACTGCCCCTCCGCAAGCGCAGCTCGAGGTGGGATGGCCCAGGATGAGCATCGAAGATTCCAGGTGAAGCTGGCACCTGTGCTGGCCGCCCTGGAATGGTTCCACCGCCCACTTGATGAGTTCATGCGCCTGCGCCAGCGCCAGCGCCACCAACCCGCGCCCGAATAAAGCCCCGGGTCGGGTCTCGGCGAACCTTCCGTCCTGCCCCGGCCGCTGGGAGCGCTGTCTGCGTGGGGCACTTGTAGTAACCTCATTAGCAGGCGTGCTAAGGTCTACACGCTTTTGCACGCTTTTGCTGTGTGTTGCGGTCATATTCAATATTGTGACATCCTGTCATGAGACTTAAATGCAAGTGAACTGGGGATTCTCTATAGAAACAGGATGCGGCCACATACAGAAACCGAAAGCCGATCAATCTTGCTTTGCACTTTACAAACTCGGAACGAAGTCTCTACACGCTGCCTATAGCCCCGTGGCTGCAGACTATTCCAGAGCATTTCTATCAGGATGCGTTTCATGGGAAGTCCTAAGTTAAGGTGAGTGATGTATCCCACCATCAACTCACATTCTTAGGAAACAGCGCCCCCGCAGCCCCCAGATCCAATCCGTCCAACATGCCCATCTCGACCTCATCAAGCTTAAACCAAAACACGTCCCCATTCTCCCTGATTCTCTCTACGTCCGCACTCTTGGGAAGCGGCACAAATCCGCGTTGCAGAGACCACCGGATTAGCACCTGCGCCGGCGTGACTGTAGCCTCCGTGATCTCTCTCTTTTTCGTGACTGCCGTCTCCACCGGAATCTCCTCTGCCGTCTCCCGCTCCCGTGGGTCGTCGTTGCGGCAGTTCGTCCCCGCAACCCGTCGTCCGGATACCGGTATTGATTCCTCCCGGACACCGACCACGACACGGCGCCGAACCCGCTTCACGACCTCTCTCAACACCGGATCCGTCCACCGTTGCCCGCGCGCGAGAGGACTGTACGCTTGTACCACGATGCCGTTTTGTTGGCAGTAGGCGACTAGTTCTCGCTGTTGACACCACGGGTTAAGCTTTTCCCACACTCATCAGCATCTCTCCCTCAATAGACCTTGCTCTGCAGACCTCTGTCAATGTCCTAACACGGCGAGGAAAGAAAACTCACCTCAATCTGATCCACACACGGCAACACCCCCTCGCAACCCTTCTTCATCTCCTCCAGCGCCCCAATCCCAAAATTACTAACCCCAAGCACCCTCGCCCTACCCTCCCTCACAAACCTCCCCAACACGCTCCAGATATCCCTCCACCGCGCAACGGGACGATGTACGAGAATCAAGTCAACGTACCCTCCACCCTCCTCCCCCCCAGCAATTCTCATTACACTCCCCAGTACACTCTCATACATCTTCTCCCCGTCGCCCTCCCACCGTCCAACCTTGGTCGTCAAAAAAAGATGCTCCCTCTTGACTCTACTCTTCCCTGCCCCCTCTTCTCCCCGTCCATCACCACACCCATCCGATGACCCCTCCTCTCGCCGTCTCAAAAACACCCCAACGGCCCTCCCAACCTCCTCTTCATTCCCATACAGCTGCGCCGTATCAATGTGCCGGTACCCGGCCTCTAACCCCGCCAGACAGGCCGCGAAGCATTCTTTCCCCCTGAGCTGGTAGACGCCGAGACCGAGGCGGGGCATCGTTCCCGTTGAGCCTGAGCCTGAGCCCGGGAGCGGGATGGGCTCGTTCATGGTATCTGGACGTGTAAGGTATGTGGCAGGTTCGCTGTAGCTTGTTCATACGGTCGTGAGGACCTAGGGGACACAAGTAGTAAACGGCTGGCGCTTGATGGTCATGACACGAAATCACATCTGCGTGGTCGTGTGGCATGTACTGGGTTGACTCACTGGCGTACAAGGTGAAGGTGCTAGGCAAGCTTACATGGACCCCACTTGCATACTGCCGTGAGTAAACAGTCACTTGATACTAAACAAAAACGCACTCAGTAAATTCTCGTGTTGCAAAAAGACTCGCAGGGTCTCTTCCAAGAAAAGTATTAACCTCTTCTGCTTCGCCGCGACGCCCAGTCGGCCAGCGTCAAAGTAGATAATCATAGTGTTACATTTCATCCGACACCCAAATAAAAACGCCCAGCAGCCTCTCCACCCAGCCGATAAACACACCCAAAAGTCGGAAGGGCGCAATCAACCCGTCTTCTTCTTCTTCTTGGGCCTCTCCTCTTCCTCTTCTTCGTCATCCTCGCCATCGTCGCCGTCGTCGTTATCCACGTCGCTCTCTTGACTGCCTGAGCCAGAGCTCTCATGGTCGCTGTCAAACTCTTCGGCAACGTCACTCTCACTCTCGGCGTTGAAGTCCTCATCGACACTCTCTTCGTCCTCGTCAGCTGAGCCACGGTCGGCCTTGGCGGCACCAACAACCTCCTCTTCCGAATCGTCCATAGCTTGGTCGCGCATGGCTGCAGCAATGAGGTTGGTCTCTTCATCGATTTCGTTCTTAACGCGCAATCCCTTGAGTCTGAAGAACTCCTCGAGCCCCTTGAGATCCTCGCGGTTGATATTGCTGAACTGTGATGAGCCAGCGCCGTTCTTCATCTGCACGGTGATATCAAAGGTTGACAGCGCAGAAACGGCACCTCCAACACGAGAGAATGTGATGGACGCTGTTTGCTCGTAGGCAATGTACGTCGCAGGTTTAGGCACAAACATGAACGCCTTCTCCAGGCAGTACAGGAAGCCTTCACTGGCCTTGATCGAGCACTTGATACCGAACTGATTGCGGTGGCTGCGTGGATGTTAGCACAGATTCTCTCGCACAGATGGTGAGACACATACGTCTGGAAGTCCTTGGCAGGCGTCGTGATCTTCTTGTTGGCAAGTCCTCGGAAGATGTAGGTGATGACTTGGTGAAGGGGTTGCTCGTAGTGAGGCTGAAGTCTGTCCTTGTACCGCTCGTCTATTTGCTCCTCGGTGAGGTTAAGATCAATCGTCACCTCCTCGTCCTTCTTGAACTGCATGACGATGAACGGGTATCTTGTCTGACCCTGGCGCAGGGGCGGGTCCAGGCCAACGCAAAGAAGCACGTGAGTCTCGTCTGGCTTGGGAAGCACCATAAACTTCTTGATGGCGTCGTACTGGATCTTGTAGTCGTACGTCTTACCACGGAGACGGAAAGACGCATCGTACATGTCGATATCGAAACGACCTCTGTCGAGGTGTCAGAAACTTTTGGGTTATAGACAGCTATGGCGATTCGCACATACCTGGGTGTGAGATGGAGGATGTCCAGAAACGTAGCGATAGTATCGCCTGCGGTCTCGCCAATCTCGGCCTTCTCCATCAGGGTATCGTAGAACAGGGTGACGGCGTTCTTCTCCTCTTCACCGCCGGCGTCGCTACCAGCCTCGTCGCCCTCCACTTCCTTCTTGACGGTTCCGGGAATGTAAAACCGCATCTCAACGAGTTGATCCTTGCCGGCACCCGCCTTCTTGCCCTTTCCGCGCGCACCGCCCAAGTGGCCATTAGTGCCAGTATCGTTCTTGTCCGTGGGAGCTGAGAATTCGACCGCGACCTCGTTACGACCCGCCAGGTTGGTGTTTGAGATTTCGGAGTAGGGGATTTCGAACGCAGGGCGGCTCTGGACGTTGAAAGACAGCTCAGCCTTTCCAAAGTCGGCCTTGCCCCAGTTCCATCCCCTCAGGGCGTGCTCCCTATTCTCGAGCGCGGTGCTGTACCAGTTCTTGAAGAGCTTGGCAAGACGCTCATAGTCCTTCACGCCAGTTACCAAGTCAGCATTCCATTCATCCTGAATCTAACGACTGACGCGCATCTTTACCTCTTGTTGGAAACCATCGAGCTGGATGATGCGCGAGTCTCGGTTGAGGATTTTGATTTCGTAGCCCTTGGCAGCTCGGCTCCACTGCGCCGAGGCAATTGTGCTGTGATCGAGAGTGAAGGTATCGCCACCGCCGGAGGGCTTCCAACCGAGACCGCTCTCGGCAAATCTGCACTTGCCGCTCTCCTTGGACAGGTCCAAGTAGATGCCGTCGAAGCTCTCTCTAGGAAGGGGCATCTCGTTAGCTATCGAACGATAGAAAAGTGGGAGAAGCTCCAATTGCGCCTGATTGTGGAATAGTTGTATCGCACCAAATCCATTGTTTCTCGGCAACTCGACGGACATGGGATCTGTGCGAAAGAAGGAGCTGGTGATGGGCACTCACATAGCTGCCATGATTGCTGGCGAGAGGTCGGAAGGTCAAGAAAAGTATCGGCTGGTGTCGTCGTGATACCGTCGCAGAGAAAGCTATACTCGAGGCGAAGTATGTGAGGAAGTGACGTATGACTCGAATCGCCGATGTTCGAGATGGATAGGTGGGAAGGATAGAGATGGCGGTGCTTCAAGGAGGTCCCGCTGATGTCGGTGATAAAATTTCGGGCGTTGGCACTTCGCGCTGCACTTTCCCTGGTCGCGCAAGGCTACAGCACGGTGGCACAGCGACGACGCGACTTTCATTAAGTGCAGTGGGCCCTTTGCTCGCCGCTGACTGGACGTTCTTTCACCCCCTGGCGCGGGCTTATGCGCTTCTCTGTGAGTCCTGCTTACCTAATATCGAAGAGGTCCAATCCGGTCTAGCGCAATTACCCCGACTTCCATTGCCTGGGACGGGAGCTTGAACCTGGTGGGGAGCAGCCCTGGAAGCACACTTGCCAAGTGTGGGGTAATTTCCTACCGAGGACAGCCGGGCTTAAGCAGGAGCTGGGAGCTGGAGCTGTCGGGTTCGGTCCGTCAAAGTGTCTCAAAAAAGCTGGACAATTGGGGTATGCCAGCAAGGACAGCTAAGCCTGGCTCGGGGATCGGGTAAGTGGAAGAGGGATTGTGGCTGGTAGCAAGAATGGCTGGCTTTCCATCGCAGCATACAAGTCCTTCCTCTCAGTCACCATTTCTTCCACATTTGCCTCCATGTGTTTGTAACCGCCAGCTTTCAAATCAGCCAACGATTTCATATTGAGGACGCAGAAATTGACAATCTCATCTTCATTCTTACATCTTACCTCTCGGCTCTGTAGAAGAGGCTCTTCCAGTCAGCAGTAGTCATGTCTAGCCCTCCATCTCGTCTTAAGAACATCCTCGGACACCTCCTCTCATCCTCCACAGCCAAGGTCGATGAGCCCCGTCCGAATCACCACATACACCAGCTTTCGCCAACCTTCTTTCTAGAGCGTGCCGCCGCGATAGAGCCCGATGCGGAAGCCATCTTCCACGTGACAGCCAACGGCCGAACTCTGCGACGGTCTTACATAGAGTTCGCAGACAGAGCGCGCGGCCTTGCTTATTATCTGAAGAAGCACGGCTTCAAGAGGGTCGGGATTCTTGCGCCCAATACACCCGCCTTTCTCGAGTCCATCTTTGGTATTGCCGCCGCTGGCGGGGTTAATGTGGGTGTCAACTACAGATTGAAGCCGGATGACATCACCTACATCTTCGACTTTGCCGAGGTCGATTCAATCATCGTCGACCAGGAGTTCGTCCACCTGCTTGACGAGTTCAAGGAGAAACACCCCCAGGTCCCCTTGATTATTGACACTGATACCGACTACACGGAGGGCGCCTTGAGTGGCCCCTTTGATGATGCCGTCTTGGAGGGCCTGCAGTATGATCAGCAACACGGTCAGGGTTGGGCCGGCCTTCACTCACAATGTGGTAATGAGGATGATATGCTTGCCATTCCTTTCACTTCAGGAACCACGAGTCGGCCCAAGGGCGTAGTCTACACACATCGCGGGGCCTATTTGGCTGGTAAGTGATGCATGAACTGGTCTGAGACTCTTGCACAGGTATCAAGTTGTGCTGATTGTATTTCCGTGTAGCTGTTGGAAACGTCATCGAATCAGGACTGAATTATCACACTGGCCGTTGCAAATATGTAAGTCATGATCAAACCCAGCTCATGCTTGCTGCACCTAGCTGACCATGGATTTCTACCATCTAGCTATGGACTTTACCCATGTAAGTGCATCAGGATAGATTGTCGAAAGGCATTTGCTGACTATGTCTAGGTTCCACGCCGTTGGTTGGACGTAAGAAGCCTACCCTCCAGTCTGGGGCCCTCTAGTCTTGTTTGAACCTACTGACATAGTACAGATTCCCTTGGGCGGTAACGGCTGTGCGTGGAACGCACGTGTGCTTGCGAAAGATTGACTACCCTCTCATCTGGAAGTTGCTTAAGGAAGAGGGCATCACACACTTCAACGCAAGTGATTCCTATCCACGGAGTGTGAAGAGCAGACAGTTGACACAGGAGTTCAATTGCAGGCAGCACCAACAGTCAACACCCTGTTATGCTCAGCGAACGAGGCCGAGAAGTTGCCCCAAGAAGTGCGGGTGACTGTAGCTGCCAGTCCACCCAGTGCGCACTTGTTCGAGCAGATGGTATGTAACGCTTGATCCGGCTGCCGGGACTCGTCGAAATAGTGTTGACGTGGTTAGACAAACCTGAATCTCTTCCCCGTCCATGTCTATGGCATGACGGAGACCTACGGTCCCATCACCAAAGGATACCATATGCCATCATGGGAGACACTCCCAACAAACGAGAAGTACGCCAAAATGGCTCGCCAGGGTCATGGCTTCTTGACCAGTCTTCCCATTCGAATCATTAAGACAGATCAGCCGGAGGGTGCTCTTATTGATGTCGCCAAGGATGGGAAAGAAATCGGCGAGATTGTATTCTTCGGTAATATCTGCGCCAAGGAGTATTTCAAGGATGCCGAAGCCACCAAGAAGTTGTTCGATGGCGGTGCGCTGCACTCTGGAGATCTCGCAGTCTGGCATCCCGATGGATCGGCTCAGATTCTTGATAGAGCAAAGGATATTATCATTTCAGGTACGCGTCAACTCGTCGAGTTGTTGTCTCTCGTCGGACTAATGAAGGACTAGGTGGCGAGAACATCTCATCGGTGGCCCTTGAGGGCATGCTCGTACAACATCCCGATCTACTCGAAGCGGCCGTGGTTGCTGTGCCTGATTCTCATTGGGGCGAGCGTCCTAAAGCCTACGTGACTGTCAAAGAAGGCAAGAGCTTGAAGGGGGAAGACCTGATTTCGTGGGCGAAGCACCAGAGCAACATCTCCAAGTTCATGGTGCCTCGGGAGGTTGAGGTTGTTGATGAACTGCCCAAGACTAGCACTGGCAAGTTGAAGAAGAATGTCTTGAGGGAATGGGCCAAGGGAAAGAGGGAGTAAGTAGACAGGACATAGCAGATGAGTGTTGTTATTGCATGATGGCCGCAACAATTAGAGAAGGTAGAAGGGGAGGAGGCGGGAAGGAAGGATAAGGAGAATGTGAGCTCTTCCGAATCAGACAGAAGCAAGATCAAGTGCCACTCACCGTCTTACACGTGATTATGCCATGTGCCTTTGTGCGAAGTGGTTCGTCTGATGGAAGGTTACCTCAAGCTGCGACCTGTCCAAATGCGGATGACAGCCCTGACGAAAAAAAAGCCACATGCAACGGTCAACGGTACTAACGGTCCCAACGGTCAAGGCACCTTCCCGCAGCCTCCGTTTCCAAACACTCAGTGGTAGTTTGTGATACTGTGATGAACATCGTGCATGGAGACGTACAGACCTAAGGCAGGTGGATGTTCCTCTTTCTTATCCCTGAACCTTGGTTCCTGCGGGAATAGGCCAGTAATAGAACAAGAATGAAAGACACCGGATGGACAACTGCCTGAGGTAGGGAAGGGGAGACAGGGGTTACTGTTTTGACAGGACGGGGAAGGAGCGGAACGGAACCTTCAACACCATCGTACCCAACCGTAAGATGATGTGACGTGCCCATGTACCTTCAGGTAAGATACGGTAGGCACATCTTTCCTCATAGAAGGTCGCCTGTCTGAACTTGCTGCTGCCTACCTTACGTTTGCTTAGGGCAAGGGGCAGCCCACAACGCCTTCCACAGAAGACAACCCAAGACTGACGGAGAAAGGTGCAATCCGAATGGTACAGAGTACCTAAGGTACCCGAGAAGCAAGTCGAACCCTCGCTTAAGGTGGTCACACTGTCACGAACCACGCACCATATGTACGGAGATCAGGAGAACAGGTCACATGGCCTGCTCCCGCGGAGTGAAAGCAAACGTCAAAGCACCAGACAACGGTCGATTTCGCAATGTTCGAGAGCGAGAGTGACCAGTCAACTAACCCTAAGACCAGAATACAAGAAGAAACGACAAGATGCTTCTGTCGCCGTCGAGCAAAAGACATCCGAGATTCCGTGAAGCGAGGCGGCGGGAATACACCACGAGGGTATCCCCTGAACAGCAAACGGAGAGCTCGATGGAGCCACTCGGCCAACTTGAGTTAATCCATACGGAGACCAGTCAGATTCTGACCGGTACGGACTACGGATCACATCAAAGTCCCTCATCGACCATAGGGTAACGGTCTCAGCCCCGATGATTTCGGGTCCTCGGGCTGGAAGCAAGGCACTGGCCCCCAACCCTCCCAACTTGAGAGGGAGAATTAACGGGACAATACCCATAAACAGTAAAGAACATCCTAGGGTTCTCGACGTCTGATACATGGAGTTTGTTTCCAATGGTCATTACCTGATGACGCTGCGGCTGTTCACCCTGGAGGAAAGGCTTCTTTTCTTCGGGACCCGAGATCATCAGGCTCTTGGCTGCATCCTCACCGACAGACGCAGATCAAGATTACCCCCCTTATCCTCTGGCCTTCCCTTAGGGCTACGGTAGAAGGCGAGAAGATGGCTGAGGAGCGGGCCCCTCAGCTTCAAGATTGTTCCACCCAGCCACCTAAGCACCAATGTAGCTGGCTTTGAGGTCATCTCTCTCTCTCAAGTGAACAAAGGCGTCATACAACGGCTCAACCAAAGAGGAAAGTAGAAAGAAGATTCTTCTGACACTTGTCAGTCCACTCACAACCCTCGCACGTGTTGCCAACCTAACCGCCCCTGATAGGAGCATCCGAGATTCAGGACCACTTGAGTCAGACCTCCACTAGTTTCATTAAGCAACGATCTTCTCCCACCACCAACAGAGAATCAACAGATCTCATCTCTGTCTTAGTCTCAATGTCTGTCAGTATGCTCCTCGAGAGAGGGGGACAGCAGCTTTCCGAGCGTGGTGAAACCCAAGGCCAAGTCAAGCAGAATAACTTTCCCGGACGAGAATGCATAATACGCAGACACGACTTGAACAGCTGCATCATGCAGGCCACTGTGGGTATAGCTGCTTCTACGACCAAGAAAGATTGGGCGCGCGGGCAAGTCCCTGCTCAGGATTGGGTGACGGAATCCATGTAGGCGCTGCACACGCCTTTGGGGGCCTTCCGGGCGCCCCATGCCGTCCAGGTCGGCCAGCAATCGCGGATCCTTTCGAGCGGTCTGGGGACTGCGTTATCCGAAGCCGAGCTCACATGGAAATTGCCCTATCGAATATTAATCTGTCGCGTCGGGTCCTCATAAAGCCCACCTGAACCCCTCCTCGAATAAATCAAGTCTCAAAGGCACCATCCATTGACAATGTCAGTGATGATGCTGCGAATGTGATAGCTGACAGAGCTTTGAGGACGCGGGAAGCCCATTCACGCAGCGAGTTACTAGACTTGCTCCAGCCGGTAAGTCGAGTCGCATAAGCAGCCGACTATGAGATAAGACAAGGAAAGAAGAGGGAGAAACGGAGGAGAACAGAATGAGAGATGAGAGAGGGCTTACAACTTGACTCGACTGAAGATGGGTATGGGCTCAGTATGAAGAGTGGCCCGATGGGAAAAGAAGATGGGGGATGAGAGAGGATACTCAGCACTCCGGACAAGCCACGGCTAGCTTGCCGTACAAGTAAGAAGATGAGAAGAGACTGACTGCCCTGTCCGGATAGATAGATCGAGATCTCAAGAGGAACAACAAACGACATCGACGACAGGTCATTTATAAATTGGACTGCTACCAACACGACTAGGCGAAGCAGAGCAAAGAGTAAACGTCGTCCGGAACTCGTTCGGTGTGTCCTGCATACCCTGCGCCGCAGCAGCAAAGATTTTTTGGCGACAGCCCTGGAGTGGAGTGACTCTGGCATAAATCCAGGCCACCCCGATCCCCCCGATTACCGGCGTCTTGGGCGCCGGTCGCATTACAACGCGCTTCCCGCCGCCGTACGTACGACACCCGAGTCTAACTTTGAAAACTACGACAGAGTCGATTCACTTGAGCAGCTGTCGTGGTCGGCTGACTCTGTCGGAACCCTAGTCCTGGGAAGGTGTGGTCCGCCTAGAGACCAAAGTCACTCCACGGGGACGGTATACGGGAGAATCCCGCGCCACAAGTTGTCTCCCGATTGCCCACTGTTCTTAGGCAATCCCTGAGAAGGCCGTGGCGTCCGCTCCGGAACTACTGGCCAGACGCTCGTCTGGTTCTTTCCAACGGCAGCCTGCGTCCACTGGGATTGTCTGGCCGCACGCTTAGTACGGAGCCTCCCAATCGTGGCTGGTTTGCTCTTCCTCGCCCGATCTTGGCCATTCGCGGATAGGAGGCCTTTCCTCGGTTCCGGGATTGGAAAGCAGATACAGGAACAAGGTCGAAGATTCGAAAAAGTAAACAAAACCTGTATAAATCACCAACGGCTTTGCGTTGCTTTGGGGCCGGACGGTGGGATTCAGAAAGGGGGTTCTCCAATCGAACCAAGACCCCTCGCCACCCCCGGCAAGACGATACGATGGCGCACACGCCAAACGACAACACTCCCTTCTACGAGTATCTCGTGGATGACCCGGAAGTAAGTATCTCACCCGGCGTTGCATTCCACTTTTCTCCGTTCGGTGCCTTCCTCCCCGGAGTGCGGCCTTCAGGGGCTCCCATTTCTTGCGGTCAGGCCTTGAATCAAACGACCAGCTCATTCCGCGCCATGCCTCTTGGCCCCTTCTTCATCTGCCGACCTGAGCGGTATACGAATGTGACAAGACAAGCGCTAGACCAAGCGATCAAAGGCGCGAGTGAGGACATGATGCCACGCGGGTAGCACCGAGCTGGGCCAGATCCCTCCCCTCCCCCATGGGCCTCCGCAATGAGAAGTCGAGTCACGATTCAAGGACCATTCAAGACTCTCTACATTATTTTGTCTGTCGGTGTTCGCCTCCGGTGCTTGGTATGGGATATGGGCGGGAGATGGCGGAGTATCAAGGAGCTGAAAGTCTGTGTGCCACCCCGGGATAGGGCGATGGCAAGGTGATGTTCTCTGAACAAGCGTTCAGCAAACTGATGAGACAGACGGCGATGAGGCGCAGAAGAGTAGAGCAGGCCGTGTCCTCGAGGATCACAGGTCCTTTCGCCAAAGAAAAAAAAAAGGTTGAAGACAGAAGGAAAAAGTCTGACGATTATTTCTATCAGCAGATGATAGCTTCGACGCCGTTGTCCCCGCACTTCTCTCCCGAAGTTTTCGGAGGGGCTTTCGACGTCGGCGACCGCCAACACCACGCCACTCGGCCCGGTAATCAGACCACCCAGCTGAGTCCAGGCCACAATCGGCCCAACGCCATCAATGAATCGACCACAGCGACACCACTAAATCAGGTCCAGGCCATTGCAGGTATTCCTGGATTACCCATACCCGTATCCGTATCGACGGCGCAATTCCCGCAAATTCACAATCTCGGAGGACTCCAGCACCTGAATCAGCAGCACCAGCAAAACCACCCTCAGCTCCATCCTTCAGCCCTGGGTCTGGGTCTCGAGTTGGGTACTCTGGGGTTGACACATGCAGAGGGCAACCAGGGTCTTCAGCACCAATTCGGTCCAGCGGCAGCGCCTGCGCCTAATATTGCTGCTGATCAACAGGGGACGTCGTCGCATCTCCATTTGCAGGGCCATCAACGTGCACCCGCCCACGCCGCCGCATGGCTTCCGCCCGGATATGGAGTCCCGGTGTACCACGACAACCCGCAACAGCATGTCGATGCAACGTCCTCCTCCGCAACAGCAGCAGGTGTCAACCCACCTGTCACTCTCTCCGCAGCGGCCGGCCTGAGTACTGATGGCAGAAACCAGAATGTTGGTGTTGGCGGTGGTCACTTATACGATTTCGGATTCGCAGCACCACCACTACCGTCAACGAGTGAGCAGTCGTTCCTGGGCGGCGGAGTCTATGCCGACATCACGCCACTTTCCACCACCGTAGCTGTAACAGCTCACCCGCAACCACCCACGACCACTTTTGATTTCCATGCTTCGCCATGGCGGCCGCGGCTTCAAGACAGCAGCTCCGTCACACTGACACCAAACATTGCAGCCGTCGCTGCGGCCGAATTGAACCACGACGTCCGCAAGCACAGCAAAAGCAGCATGGAGACCGATAGCGACGTCAAGGACCCTTCGTGGGATGACGATGATAACGAGGCTCAAGATAGAAGGGGTGGAGCTGGAGCAATGAAGACGTCGTCGTCGTCATCGCCCGGGACTCGGAAGCCGCAGCGAAAGGGCAAGCGCCGTGCCGTAGCCGATCCCGAAGCCGGTGGCAACTACGACAATGACGAACCCACCAGCCCCGCGGGCCGGACCAGCGTCAGCGGCCGATCGGTCAAGTCGGTATCGGTCGCCTCATCTGCCGGATCGAGCACCAAGACGGCACCGGCACCCCGACTGCGCAGTGCCTCCCGCACATCCAAAAACGCACTGCAAAAGCCGACCGAGTCCCTCGAAGAACGACGAACACGCGCATCTCATAATCTGGTCGAAAAGCAGTATCGTAACCGACTCAATGCTCAATTCGAGGGTCTCCTCAATGCCCTACCGGAGCAGGTCCGCGGCCCGGCCGGCGCCGGAGACGGCGACGAATCGGACCCGCAAGCGGCGGCGGCGGCGGCAGCGAATGAGGAAAGGCGGGTCAGCAAGGCCGAGGTGCTGGACATGGCCCGCCGCCACATCCAGAACCTGGAGCGGGAGCGGGAGACGCTCCACCGCGAAAGGGGAGAACTGCTGCGCAATCTAGAGACGCTCGAGCGGGAGGCGGCCGTGAATGGCGGCGGGGGCGGCCGCTTGGACGAGTTCCTCGACGTCGAAGGGGTTCCGGACGAGAGAGGCGAGTCGTCTTCGTCGTGGAGGAATGCTTGAAGCGGGTTGCCCTTGACACCTGTACAAACCCCCCTGCCTACTTGTCTGCCTGCCGTGAGCCTATTCTATGATGGTGGTGGTGGTAGTCGTGATGGTGGTGGTGGGTGTGAAGCCAATGCAGTGCACTTCTGGAAAGGGGGGAGCGCGTGAGCTCAAAATCTCGGAGGCAAGGGTGCCGGGGGTGGTGGGGGGGAAAGGGTTCTTTCGGAGTGTCGCCGACCGCCCGAGAACATGCCGCGCGCGGAGGGGAAACGTCATACCATCCATTGGTCGCGGCGGTGTTGTTGCCCCCGTCTCAGATATCGACGCCGGTCCGCAGAAGGGTGCCATCCCGCTCCACGGGTCCAGGGTCTTTTCTTTTCTTCGTCTTCTATTCTTCTACCCTATGGCCCCGCCGAGTTTTGCTTTTGGTATCAGGTTTTTCTGTTTCTTCCTTATTTTCTCCGCGGACAAATTATGATGGCGGACGAAATCAGTTTCATAAAGGCGGGAAGAGTCAAGCTTGATTGGATGCAGATGATGACTTCCGGGATATCGGCAGCCCGCCTGCCGGGGGTTTAGGAGGGGAGGTTAGAATAGATTGTGGACCGAAGTAGTGGATAAGAGGCAAGTACAGCCGGGACACGGGAGGAAATCGCGAGGGAGAGGGGTTACAGAGATGGGTGGGAAGAGAAGGGCGGGAGGGCAGGTGGTGTGCATGTCTGTATGCGTGTACATGTGCGATGGGCAGAGGGATGAACAAGGTGCCTCGGGAGGATGGAGGAGGAAGTACGGTGTGGTGTGTAGGGTGAAAATATGTTTTCCGTCAGGATGAGGGTTGGACGGAGCTTGTAATTGACGGTGATGCTGGTCTAAGGACCAATTTTACAACTGCAAAAAAAGTCTTGGGAGGACTGCTCATTAGGGTGAGGTAAACTTCATTTGGACAGACGAAAGTATATAGAAAGAGAAGTATCATGACTATGCTCTAACATTCATGCTCGACTGATGACTGCAGCGGAAACCGCATTTCTCTCTCGTTGCACTTTCAAGTATGGATGTCTGTCGTTGCCATCCGAAGTTTGACATGTCGACGTGTTCGTCATGCAGAGTACACACAATGCGGGACACGAGTCTAGACCAACCTAGCCCAGCTTCTCCCACTCCTCCGCATCGAAGCTACTAAGGTAAGATGTGTGTGTGTGTGTGTGTGTGTGTGTGTGTGTGTGTTCACTACCGAATGCATAATGCACATCACCAAACTACGCAGCACGCCAGCCACGCCAATCAACAGCTCTGCCGTACCCAGCCAGAACCTGATGGTTGCAAGAGAGCGTATGCATCTCCCCAGAAATTGTCAACTTTTCATGCGATGCGTCACGAGGGTTCTTTGCGTCGCTCTACCCTTACTGTGTGTAAGTAAGGCAACAACACCTCGGCATGTTTTGATCGCGTGAACTGGTTTGTGGTGTGTCGCTGCCACTTTCTCAACCCCGCCTTTTCGCCAAGTTCATGCCTCTTCACAGCGTAAGTTTGATCATAGGGCGAAATCTTCACAGCAAGTCATTGGGGAGGACAGAGATCAATAACAGGAGTAAATGGGACAGGTGATAGGAGTCTCTCTTTTTTGATTGAAAATTCTTGTTCGGAGCGATCAAAGGCTTGCATCCGAACCGCGATGAAATAAGGTAAACCTCCTTTTGTTAACCCGAAACTTCCAAAGCTGGGAAACATCATCTCTCTCTCTCGCGCGCGCTGCGTACCCCTCCAGGGCCGCAGGTAATCCTTCTCGTGATCGCACAGATGCGTAACACGATCCCTCCATTGGGTTGCTTCCTTCCGCGGGTCCTCTCTTCCCAAATTTTTTACAAGTGTTTTTTGCTTTTCTGTTCCCCCTTTCACCCTTTTTTTCCATGCTGAAAAAACAAGGGGTTTGTCATAATCCATCAAATCATAACCCTGGCGGAGGTTCAAATTCCTTCCGGTGGGCTTTTGTGCTCGCGCCCTTCTTTTTTTTTTTGTACAACAAAATAACAGAATCAGTAGTAGCGGTATTGCTGGTGGTGGTAGTATAGTAAGAGTGAGTCCTTCGGATCGGACTGCAGATAGATGTAAGGAAACTGTAGATCGTTGTGCGCGTTGCGCTGGCGGGCGTCTTGTGAGTGAGTGAGTGAGTGAGTGTGTGTGTGTGTAGCGAGTGATGGTTGGTGGTCGGAATCGAAGAATGACCAAACCGGATTTTTGGTCTATGGTGTGAACGAAATGATGAGAGCCCAGGTGATAACTCCTCCGAGATATGCCAAGAAAGTCTATACGAATCACGACCGTCTTGAAACGCCGTGATATGTCGAGAAACAAACAATAAGGTGTAGAGGGTTTGTTAGTGTGGTGCGTCGCTCCGCCGTTGAGGGAGAGAGAACGCGCGAGCGTGCGCGCGCCCAGGTGTGTGTGTCTATGGAACAAAGATATATGAGATATGTTGTGAGGTCGTAATGTGTTGTCATCGGTCGGAAGGTGTACTCAGTGGCGAGCAGGCGTTCAGATGCGGCTGCCGGCATAGAGAGGTGGGAAAAGGGCGTACTGCCCAGGCGGGGGTGGGGCACTCAGTGTCTGCGCACGTTGGCGTCGGTGCTGCTTCACCGGCTCCTTCATCTTGGCAAGCGGGAGAGAGTCCTGGGACAAGCTGGCATCGATGCATCCGGAAGCGGCGCGGATGTCACCCGTGGAACGCGACATGGTCAGAAACTCCTCGGATTCAGGCAACGGAGTCATGGTGGACTTTCGTCCTCTGGGCGACCCGAGGTCCGCAAAGTCATCGGCACTGAAGGAACGCGAGTGGTCGCTACCCTCAAACTTTGGGTTCCAACCCTCAAAGGTCGTGCTTCCCGTGTACCTGGTGAGCGCCGTCCATGTCGAGTTGGTCGATGTATGGCGAGCCTCGGTCAGGCTGGTTTGGCTGGACGAGTTGCTGCCGGTTGTTGAAGTGCTGGCACGGTCTCTGGCGAACAGTCCAGGCATTTCAATCGTCAGGACGGGCTCCTCGTCAAAGGCGAAGTGGCTGGAGTCGTGTCTCCCCACATCCATGGGGTACGCGTCAGCGTCCGAGTCTGCCAACATCTCCTGGCGGAAATCCGTTGGAATGAGAAGAGATGGCGAGAGGTTGAAGCCGTGAGACTCCTTGAAACTCGATGCTCGCGATGCTGTCCTCACGTGGAGATGGGAGGTGCCCCGGTAGTTCGTCTCCTTTCTGGGATGAGAGAAGTTTGACCTAACGGGCAGCGCGGTAATGGTAGGAGTGATTGCTTCGTGTCCGTTGACGGAAGTCTGACTGGCGGGGCTGAGGGCTGGCATGTCAGAGTGTCCCAACGTCGATGCCGGCTTCAGACCAGCCGAGAGGGGTGCGACGAAGATACCATCATTGTCAAAAGAAGTCTCTACAGAGTCCTCCCTCACAATATCCAAAGACGGCCGGTCCCACGCGTAGTCGCAGTCAGCCTCAGCTTCGTGCTCGTAGCAGTAGTCAATATCATCCTCCCAGCTGGCTCGGTGAGAGATAGCAGCCGGTCCATCAACTTCCAAAGCTTCCTTCAGAGCATTCTGCGCGGCAAGCATGTCGAAGCTGCCAAGGGTGTCCGATGCGCCGCTTGATGGCCGCCTAAACTCGTCCTCCGGCGTCTGAGGCACGCTCTGGCGCAGAGCAGGCACAGACTGGCTTCCCCGAAGCGATGAACGAGTGCTGGTCATGCTCGGGCCAGACTGCCGGGACAAAACGAACTGCTCCTCCTCTTCAGGCACATCAGGCAATGCCATCTCATAAGAGACAGTGGAGCTTGCTGTAAGTGGCCACGCAGCATCGTCGGGAGTGGTGATTGCATGAGAGAATCTCGGGTCTGCGAAAGGCTCTGCTTCTTCGGAAATTGTAGGTTCAGTGAATTCGATCGGTACATCGAGGGTGCCTGGCAGGTGAAAGCCGCTGCTGGTCTGAGGGCGTTCTGGAAACATATCAATGGTGGCGAGCGAGTCTTCTGAAACGGTGTAATGCTTCATGATGCGGCTTGACGATCTGGGGGGAGGGACAGGTACAGGCGAGCCTGGAAGAGTTGGCGAGACAATCTCCTCGTTGATGGGTGATCGGGGTGGCCGCGGAGGTGCTGGGCGCGGCGGGCTCGACCGAAGTTGTTCCTGGGATCGTGTGTGCTTGACCAACCGTCGAGGTGCAGAGGTCGGGCCTGTATGCCTGGCAATGGCAGGCGGGCGATTCGCAAACATCTCTGGCTGAGTTTCGGACGCCCACGCGTTGTCCTGCTGCGTGTGCAAGGCTTCGGATGAAAAGTTGGAAAAGTGCAAATCTTCAACGTCAATTCCCTTGAGTTGGCCGGTGGTCGGCCGTTGGCCAGCGCGGATGGCTGAGAATTCGGAGACCAGTTCGGCGCGGCTACCCCGCTGAAGGTCCGGTAAGTGATCCCGCTTGGTGTGGGTGACATGTTGAAAGTTGTAAGGGCCTGATATTTGCAACTTGCGTCCCGAAACTGGGTCTTCACCTAAGTCGTCCTGTCTTAGAGTTCTGCGACGGCCAAAAATTGATGGGATGAAGTGGTCCTTGTTTGTTGTCGAGGCCGGGCCATCCAGGGCAAGCTCACCAGAGTATAAGGAACTTCCAGAGGAACTGTGGTTACCACTGCTTTCCCGCTTCATCTTGGCCCTGCGGTTGAAGATGGTTTTGCCAAAGAGCTGTACGCTCTCGGGCCGGTCTCGAGAAGGCATGCTGCTCGAAGTCGACCGGCCAGAAGAACGTCTTGATAAAGTAATGGTTTCCAGGGTGTGTTCCCACGACCGGTCCGAGTTCAGTGAGCGCAGCGAGGATGTCGAGCCAGAGGAGGTGGTTGTATGGCTCTTGTGTTTGTCCAAGGCCGAGGCCCTCTGCATCTGCTTGCTCAAGGCACGAATCCTTTCCGGCGAGGGCGGTCCATCAAGAGCAGGCTCGAACAAATCTGCGATGTTGTCGGGATGGTCTTGGGTTG